CCCGCATCTTAATCCCATGCATTCAAATAATTCATCCCTTCAAGAATTACAACATGATTGCACACACAACATATTCATAACAATTCAAGGCATTCACATTCAATACCATCATCACATTCATCAAAACAATGCACACATATCCATGATATGTTCCCGTGCATTACATACATTAGCATACAACAATATGCATTCACATACTTAATTAGAGAATACACACATATTCACTAATATGTTCTCATGCATTCCTAAGCAATTCAAACAATACACATATCACAATCTAGGATTCACGCTCAAAGGCTACCCACAGCTCACCACAATAGTACACAAGCTTATTCATATCACATAGGGTTAACATAATTGAACCACGCAATTAATCATTGGATGGATAAAATAGAAAAGAAATAATGTTGTCCTGCTCGCCACCCTTCGCCTGGCGAATGCTCGCTGGGACCTTCGCCTGGCGAACTCGCCAGCAAACAAAGTCAGTAGCTACTGACTTGGTTCGCTACCCTTCGCTAAAGTACTCGCCTGGCGAACCTTCGCCACCCACCTTCGCCTGGCGAACCTTCCAGCGAAGACCACTGGGAGTTTTTATGGAATTATTCGCCAGCTACTCGCTGGGCTTCGCCCGGTGAAGCGTCGCCTCCACTCGCCTGACGAGAGCCAGCGAACCTGCGAAACCAGAAAACCCCAATCTGTCCCAAAACTTCTACCCTCCAAGAATCAACCGATTCTCACCGAACCAGTTCCAGTAATCGTAATCCCACGTCACCCGACTATTCTACGGCATTATTTTCGGTTTCTAACTGATTAAACGACAATTCTACCGATTAAATCCATTTTTCCCTAGCTTGAAAAATGGTGGAAACTCACAACAAAACCCAACCCACACATACATAACCACATACATTGACTAGATAATAACGTTTCTCATCCTTACCTTGATTGGATTGAAGTTTGGTGTTGATTCTTGATGATTTCTCCAAGCTTCCCTCTTTACTTCTCTTTTCTCCTCTTTCTCTATTCTTTCTCTTCTATTTCCTTTATTTTACTATCTTTTCTTTTCTCTTCCACTTTCCTTATATACTTCCTTATTTTCTTTCCTTCCCATTTCTCTTCTCACAAATTCTCTACCAAATAAATCCAATAATTAAAATAAGTCAATTAATTAAATTAATTAACATTAATAATTAATTAATGAAATTTGGGCTGTTACAGCATGTGCCACTCCCTGACGAGCTCGAAGCACCATCGACGAAGATAGTCCACTTGTGGGCCCTAGGGGTTGGTTCTGCGGTGGGTGTCATCTCGGCGACGAGGCGAGCATCCTGTTCAGAGATTGGATCGATTTCTTCGTGCTCAGCTAGTGCCCGATAGGGAAGCCGTGTTCTCTTATAGAGAACAAGTCTTTAGGCTGACTGATGCTGATGGCCACCTGCAGCCCCAAGTCGTTGGTGGGCGAAGGAATATCCTCGACCCTTTTGGTTTCGCGGGCCTTCTGTCGAGGGGCATCTTCTTCCCTGGTGTACCTCTTCAAGTGTCCATCCTTGATTATTATCTCGATTGCATCCTTGAGGTGGATGTAATCCTCAGTGATATGCCCGTGGCCACGGTGGAAGTGTCAGTACTTGGACTTGTCCACGTTGGCCTTGGGGGGGTGCCGGTTTAGGGAAACAGACACCTCCCCTACAAACTCTGAGTTGGTGCACTCAGCCAGGATGCGTTCGCGGGAAGCGATGAGGGCCGTGTACTCCGTGAACCGGCCTGTGGGGCCTCTATGTTCTCGGGGCTCCCGTGTACGATCCTCTCGTCGTCGATCTCCCCCACACCGGGGGCTGGTGCTTCTTCTTCCGAGCTCCACGGGCAACTTCGCGGTTACGAGAGTCTTAGGCTGGATTAGTAGCTTCGGTCTCCTCGTACCGGATATATGCTCATGATTTCTCGAGGAAGCCTTGGAGGGTGGTTGGTCGGTGGATTACCACAACCTCGTAAAATTTGGAGCCGTGGCGCAGGCCTTATCCCATGAGGTAACACTTCATGTCGTCTGAAGTAGTCACCTGGACTGCCTCCCTAGTGAATCTCTTGATGTAGTTTCTAAGAGGTTCGTCCTGAGCTTGGATGATGGCGCCCAGGGGGGCCTTCGTCTTTGGATGGCGCCAGGACGTCGTGAAATTTTGCGAGAAGAGATCCTTCAACACCCTCCACGACGCGATGGACTCGGGCTCCAAACGTTTGTACCAGGCCATAACTCCCTTCCTCAGCATCGTCGGGAAGAGTCTGTACTTGATGGCTCCTTGGACGTTCCGATAATCGAGCATGACCTCAATATCTTCCAGATGGTTGTCTGGGTCCGTCGTGCCGTCGTAGGTGGAAGGCGTGGGTGGCTTCTCCATCTCGTGGGGGATGAAGGTATCCATGATTTCCCGCGATAGGGGAGTCCGGTGGTCGTCCTCCTCGCTGCGGACGAGGGAGCGCGCGAGAGAGGGATTGTATCAAGTGACTTGATTACGACCCCTCGTCCTCTTACTCAGGGCCTCAAGTCTGTTCCTCCTCGGGGTCGGGGAGCGCCCCTCCTTCCGGGGAGGTGACCTGTCGCGCTTCTTGGAGGCCACGATTTGGGGCCTCTTCAATTATGGTCGGCGCCCCCGTTGACGGGGAGAGGGGCTCCGAGAATCCTCGCGCTGGGTTCTCCGCAGGGCAGAGGGAGATGAGCTATCCTGTTCCAGCATCCCGATACTCTCGTTCTGCTAGAACAACATCAGATTGGTCTGGTTGATGGCTGTAAAGAGGGTAGTCATCATCGGGTCCACCCCTACTAGTGTGGGGACGGGCTGGAAAATAGCCGGGCTTTTTGCCCGAGGGGCGCCGTGATGTGCTGCGTCCTCGGATGAGGAGAAGGCAGTCTGCCCGTCCCTCACGTCACTATCACGGACGTTGGAGGTCCCAGCTTGGTCCTCACCGTTGGTGAGTGGGGAAAAAGCAAAATTATGGACATCATCATCGTGGCATGGGATGGTCATGATCTCGGAAGTTGAAGTTGATTAAAGCTTTGGTTCTACTGCTCGGAAGAATGGGGAAGCTTCAATTTCCCACAGACGGCGCCACTGATCGTACCTGATCAGAAGAGATTGCTAATCGGCCACGCGTCGTCGACTAATAGCTGTTCACCGGAGGTAGGGAGAAGGAGGGGGTGTACCTGTAAGGCACTCCGATGCTTAAATGAGTAAAGGATCAGAGTGGGAGCAAATACATAAAATAGGTGTAGAGAATAGAATACCTGACCCTCTAGTGAAAGAAGGTATTTATAGAGAGACCCCAGCGCAAAGTCAACGGTTACTTACATTAGGTCAGATTGCCACGCCCAACCCAAGTAACTGTTAGGGCTTACGTGGCGTAGTGAAGACCAGCACGTGGTCTTCGCCCTAGATCAACTGCCCCGTGATCTTCGGAAGGTGGGCTGACCAGCTCTTTCGGAGGCGGTAGTTGCCTGATGACGTATCCCCGCGTGGGGGAGCACATGGAGATCGTGTGGAAGACGTGTGGTTCTGCCCGACAGGGGAGGTGTCTGCACGACGTATCTAGTTTCATGCCTGACATGAGGGATTTATGCCTTGTTGGGTCTTCCCCACATAATGTTGGGTTGGGTCTGCCCGACGGGTGGGCAGGTCTGGGCCCACTCCAGAACACATATATACACAAATAAATGTATAAAATATAATCATCAACAAGTATTTCAAAATATTGTTCAAGTATTAACCTTCAACCAACAAAAAAAATTATTTTAGTGCTTGATAACTGCGTTGGCGGACCAACCCGCCCCTTTTATGGCGGGCTTAAAACGAGACGGGATAGACGGACTCAAAATTCCAACCCAACCCGCTATTTTTGTGCAGGCACGTGAGCCGGCTCAGAGGGCTAAAAACCCATTTTGCCACCCCTACCTTTTGATAGTGTAAATTGTGAGAACAGAAAGACTAAAATAAAAGTTGCATGCAACAAAATTATAATGAATTGATAGTAGATATCAAAATAACTGAAAGTTAATTACTGATTTGTTTCTATCTCAAAATTTGTTTGACTAGTTATAAAGTATAGTTTTTTTAATAGGCAATAATTCTATTAAACACGATGAGTACAAGGGGTACTCGAATTTCTTACAAAGACAAAACTAAACATCATGAGTTATTAAAACAAGACAATGATCAATACTCCAATCCGAGAAACAAATCGAAGAAAAAGAAGTAGTAGCATTACAAAACCATTCTCAATATAAAATCTTAACTTCCATCCAACAATCTTCAAAGATGAGAATTTTTTTTTAAAGATAACGCCGTTGCATAATGTCCATATGATCCAAGAAACAGTCAACCATATAACGCCAACAGCCCTAAAAGCCCCCTTCTCCTTAAGAGGAGTTTGCCGTGAAAGGAAACTCGACTAATTCCTTCCAAGTCAAAACGACGCCATGACTAAGCCAACTTAAAATTGATGTCTAAAATCTCTTGCTAAAAATGCAACTACCAAATATGTGAGATTTAGTTTCATTCTCTTTAAAACACAAGACACAACACTTATCTCTATCGTTAAATAAATTTTTTCTCTTTACTAATTGATCTCTAGTAAAATGTCTATTAAAAATCTAACGCCATCCAAACAGTAAAATGTTCGACGGGCTTGAATTTTCCACAATTCCTTAATGCCACAAAGGAATAAGCAGCAAAGGAAAATTTTCATTTAAAGCAGCAAAGGAAATTTTATATTTTTGTATGATCTTACTTTCGGCTGTTTCTAATATTAAAATTTTATATTTTTGAAAGGTTCTATTTTCTAATCAAGTATAAAAACAAAATATTTCATCATAATCCATACATTTTCTTTTGGTAGATGATAAATTAATTCTTAAGTCTGAATATTTATAATTTCAGACAATCTTATTACATAAATATAACGACAAAACTCACTTATTCATACATTTAATTAATAAGCAACTTCATAATTAATTAAGCTATATTGCCATACTTTGCCTTATACTCTGTCCACAACTGATCAACCGTCTTCCCCAAAAGCTGAAAAAAGAAATCATCACTATAACCACTTTTCATCAACTTATTCAACTCTGCCACAAATCCATTTCTTAAACCATCACAATAATCCAAAAAACGAGCAGTAACATCATAGCCATGATCCCATTTATCTCCTTGTCCATCTTTCACCCAATGACTTGGTGCAAAATTTGCTTTCAATCTCACGTAATCTGCTATACCTTCAATCAATCCACCATTTGCTGCACCATTTCCATTCCACTGCCAAACGTGTGTCATTTCATGGTACAATACTCCTGTTATCTCGTTTCTCACATCGCCGGTGTAGCCGTTAATATATCTTGCACTCACATGAATTTCGTCGTTGCTTGTGAACGCAACTCCGTCCATGTCGTCGATGAATAGACTCACCTTCTGCACGTCTTTTTGGTCGGTAGGGTTTTCCTCTTGTAACACTTTCCATATGAATTGTGTCGCGGAGTCTAGGGTTTGTGTCGCGTATTGATCTCCTATTTCATCACGGAAACGCACTCCACCTGTTATAAAAATTATCTCATTATTCAACATACTTTTCTTTTATTAATAACTTCTGTCAAGGAAAGAGTAATACCTGGAGTTGAGAGAGCAGTGTTGGTGACAGTGTAATCAACTGCTTGAATTCCATGTATTATAGCAAGCAGTGCTAAGAAAGAACAGATGACATGCATGATTGTGGTTATGTTTAGAGCTTTAGGTTAATTTCTAGTGAAGAATGAGTTTATGGTTTTAGTGCATTAGGATTAGTGCTTTATATAGAAAAATAAAGGTACACAAGTGGTTGAAACTTTATGATGTATATCATATAATAAGACTGATTCTCAACATGTTGAATGTTCTAAGCAATTGCGGTCACATGAGGTAATTGACTCATGACCAAGTCATAAAGTTAGGAGCTTAATCTAGATGAGTATTTTTTTTCTTCCATGATCTTGCTAATGAAAGTTTAGAGTGATTTTTTATCTTATTCAATTGTGTGAGGGAGTGTAAAATGGATTGAAAAACAAATCTAATGGCTAAAACCTCTCTGCCCACCACATCTGAAATTGTTGAAAGTCCACCTGAAGTGCTTAATCGATGCTATTCTCTGCCACCTTAGAAACTCCAAGTCAACCACATACCTGTTTCCAAATTGAAAGGGATATATGACAAAGAAACAGCAGGAAGCATTTTCTTCCTACATAGGACAGAGTACAACAATCTTTTATTATATATAATGTGGATCTATATATCTTTTTAAATTAGTTTACAAAATAATTATATGAATAATTATATTTAAAGAATAAATTACACTAGTATTTTATAACTCAACATTCATTTCATGCTCTTTAATGGTTAAAATTTCTTAAATGTTTTTAGTTTTCGTTCAACTTTCTTATTTTCTTGTCAATTTAACAAGTATGTAAAAAAGTTGAACGAAAATTAAAATGTAACATATATTGTTTCATTTTTCAATTTTTTTACCATTCACCACTTTCTTTGTATGCTGCAATATTCATACAAGGATTTGTATTGTAAAACAATAACATTACTTACAATTTACTGTATATTTAAGAATAAATTTATCAAGTTGTCAATCCAGGAAAACAATAAATTGCAGAGCATTTTCTTTGATTGACAATATTGAAAGGTTATTCAAAAATATAACAATGACATTGCAATAGGTGGAAACAACAATGATGTGTATGAGTTTAGAGCGGCTATATATGAGTTAAACTTAGAATTTACGAGTGCTTTTATAGTAATACCTGATTATCTAAACCCATCGATTATTTAAGAAACCGAAGGAAAAGATGATCTAATTTACAAATAAATAATAAAACGAAAAAAAACACAACTTTTAAAGAAATAAAAACAGAAACTTCATTTGCTGGGATTCGAAGCAGGAATTGAATTAGTTTTTCCCTCGATTATTTGAGAAATTGAGAAATATATGTTATTTTGAAGGAAAAAACATGGCGCCTTTTGAGAATTATACATCGATTATTTGTTTGGTGAGACGAAAACTTTGTAAAAAAATGTATGAGAATTATACATCGATTATTTGTTTGGTGAGACGAAAACTTTGTAAAAAAATGTATTATTTATAGTAGTGTGTAAACGTATTTCTATGATATATTATCCTTATTTTTATAGACACATCCCGCTTTGCTAAATTAAGAGTCACTTCATTAAGTATTGTCATCGGTTCTGAATAGGATTCTATGGTTGAGTTGTCTCTCCCAATTCTTGCACATTTGAATTGTATAGACCACTACCATGAGCCATCTCTCCATTGTCCCATATCTTCAACAGTACCATTTGGATTTGAAGCTAGCATAAATAGCTCTAGGAACTGTTTGGATAAAACTTTAGCTCATATCCACCTTGTTTTCCAAAAAGCATATACATTTCCATGGCCTATTTTCCAAGATATGAACTTTGCGAAATAGTTTTCTAAATGATTAGATTGAACCCCCATCTTAACCAAGTATTTCCGTTAAAGAGATTATTTAATTATCAACCCCATGTCTAGTAATTTGAAGATACCATTCTTAAAGTCACCATACACATGCTTCATTATCCCTATCCAAATAGCACTATGATATTGCAACAATCTCTATTTCCATTTATAAAGTAGAGCTTTATTTATTAAGAAATATGATTTCAGTACCCCAAACAGCCTTTACTCCCGGGAGCATCTCCAACCGTAAACTTATTTTTGCGTTCTTTGTAGGAACTATTAAGCCACGTCAACTTGAAGCAACTTAATTAATTTTTCACTCCAATGATGCAACTCTGAAGAACTCATATTGGGCCCCACAACTTTACTTTATATATTAATATTTTATTCATATTAAATTTTATATCAGTTAAAATAATAATTTTAATTTTAGTGTTTTAAATTAAATTTGATATAAAAAAAAATTAAACTTATAATTTAAAATGATAATTAAAATTAATCTAAAATACATGATATATAATTAAAAACAATAAAAATAAATAGCATCACATAATTAATCAAACTTAAATTTCATCATCTTCATGTCCAAAACGTTACCAAATATGTTCGACTAGATCTCCTTGAAATTTACGATGAACTTGTTTTTCTTGAATACTTGCTCTTCTTTGTAGTCTTGTTGCAAGATTCAGATGAGGACCGCTAAATGTTTCAGTTGTTGAGTTATTGATATCCACATTATCATAAGAGTAATCAAAATTACCTCCATATGTATGTCGTTCGTCTTCCACAATCATGTTGTGCAATATGATGCAAGCATATATGGTATGCTTGAGAGTGTCCATGTGCCAGGTACGTGCTGGGCCACGTATAATTGCAAATCGAGATTGAAGCACTCCAAATGCTCGCTCCACATCTTTTCTAGCCGATTCTTGATGTTGAGCAAATAATTTTTTCTTTTCTCCCTGTGGCATTGAAATAGTCTTGACAAATGTAGCCCACTCGGGATATATACCATCTGCTAAATAATACCCCATGTTATATGGTGTCCCATTGATTGTATATTGCACATTTGGAGCACGTCCTTCCAAAATATCGTTAAACACGTTGGATTGGTTTAGCACATTAATGTCATTGTTTGAACCTGCAATACCAAAAAAAGCATGCCAAATCCAAAAGTCTTGTGATGCCACTGCTTCAAGCATGATTGTGGGCTTACCATGATCACCTCGACAAAATTGTCCTTTCCATGCAACAGGACAAATTTTCCATACCCAATGCATACAATCGATGGAACCCAACATACATGGAAAGCCACGTGACTCTCCCATTTGTAATAGATGTTCAACATCAATGTTGTTAGGCTTTCTCAAATACTCAGCGCCAAATACAACATTGACACCCTTAACAAATCTTTCTAAGCACTCAATTGAAGTGCTTTCACCGATTCGAACATATTCATCTACAAGGTCAGCAGGAGACCCATACGCCAACATACGAATAACAGATGTACATTTCTGCAATGGTGAAAGACCTATTTTACCTGTTGCGTCGACCCTCATTTGGAAATATTCATCATGATTTCCAAGGGCATCTACAATTCGAAGAAATACATGCCTATGCATTCTGAACCTTCTTCGGAATTGAACATCTGTGTATACTGGGTTTTCCGAGAAGTAGTCATTGAATAATCGATTGTGCCCTTCTTCACGACCTCGATCTACCGTTGTTCTTCTCTTTGGCCTAGAGGAAGTTCCAGATCGACGTTCATTTTGAAGTTTTTGTTCTTCATCACTGTCGTCCATAAATTCTTCTTCAACCAACTCCCAAAATTCTTGATCGTAAGTATCTGAATTGTCTGAATCCATTTAGTGAGTAAAGAATGAGAGAAAAATGAGAAGAATAAGATGAGAATGAGAGAACAATGACATAAGTGGTAGTATATATAATGGTTAGTTTGAATAACAACTAGTTTGAATAACGACTAGTTTGAATAACGACTAGTTTGAATTAAAGTGGTAGTTTGAATGACGACTAGTTTGAATAACGACTAGTTTAAATAACGGCTAGTTTGAATTAAAGTAGTAGTTTGAATAACGGCTAATGACCATTTTACATAGGTGTTGATAAATTAAAGTGGTACTAATGACCATTTTACATAGGTGTTGATAAATTAAAGTGGTACTAATGACCATTTTACATAGGTGTTGATAAATTAAAGTGGTACTAATGACCATTTTACATAGGTGTTGATAAATTAAAGTGGTACTAATGACCATTTTACATAGGTGTTGATAAATTAAAGTGGTACTAATGACCATTTTACATAAGTGATACTAACTACATTCCATATTTTTTTCATCTTATTACAATATTTTTCATGAATATCGCGTTGACTATCATTCATAGTAGAAGTGTCTTTCATCATCATTTGCACTACCCTTAATTCTAGCTCGTCCTCCTTAGCTTGCGCAAGTCTGTCCATTGCTATTGCTCTTTTATTCTTTGCATCTTGCGTTACATTTGGAATTTCTAATGCCTCACCCTTCCTTTTTGCTGCTTTTTGTCCCATTGGACGCTCCATTGGTGATGATGAGTTAAACTCATAACTTGAAGTTGTATCTGGGTTCTCCGATGATGCCCCACTAGTATAAATCTTTGTTATTTTTGCAGAACTTCCAATCGATTCTTCGACGATGCGCCATTTAACTTCATATTTTAACAATCGCCATGCATACTCAAGATTGAATGTTGTACCTTGATCCTGAGCAAAAATAGCACGTGCATCTGCCATGACATCGGTCTCGGATGTCCAACTTTTCTTTCCTTTAAGAGCTATTTTGTAACACCCAACAAATTTTTGAACCATGCCATTTATTCTATGCCATCAACATTTTAACTGTCCCCCTAACTTTTCCCGCAATTGCCCATGATATTGATTATAACTAGCAGCAATTCTTAACCAAAAACTCTCAGCCTTTTGATCAACTCCCACAATTGGATCCTTTGAAACATTGAGCCATGATTGGATAAGTAGTATATCCTCTTCCCTTGTAAATTGCTCTCGAGATCTTTTTTTAACGACAACCCTTTCTTCTTTTTCAGTACCAACTTGAGTAGAAAATGGTGGGACTTGAGTAGAAAATGGTGGAACTTGAGTAGAGAATTCCATACTATTAGAATTCATTTGAGGTATAGGATACATATTTGGATTGTTTGGTGATGGAAGAA